TGTGTGTGTGTGTGTGTGTGTGTGTGTGTGTGTGTGTGTGTGTGTGTGTGTGGCTGTGATGGCCTTTTCAAGGCTGGGGTTTTTGTGGAGTCTTGTGGTAGTTGTTGTAATTACGTATACAAGCGTGAGAACCCTCTCAGTATAGTCTTCCCGAGCTCTGCCAGTTTTTTGTTTCTTTTTTTTAATTGTTGTTTGTTTAAACTTAGTGACTCCATTTTGATTCTGGCAACTTTTGCAAGAAGATGACTGTAAATTTAAACTTAGTTAAGAAAATTGCCAGACAAAATCAAAATTTTGGAATTCTTCAAATGCCATATTTGAGAGAAAAATTTACCTTATGCACTATCTTTTCCCTGAAAAGTGCAGCAATTGGGATCGTTTGAAAGGCCTAGAAATTAACAAGGTTTCCAAGTTATATTCTTTCCCACATATCATATCCAGTATTTCATATTTCCTTTCTGTTTCAAAAGTACAGACATGGACATGGCAGTGTCCACAGTGTCCACATGGCAGTGTCACATATTTCCACACTACGCTGTGACAATGCTCATTCAGTTCCGTGGCATGGTTTCTATTTCTACTGTGCATTGGTACCCTTGTTCCTTGGCCTAGGAAACCTGTCTTCTAGGGAAAGATTATCTGTAGTCCCAATATTTGTTTCAAATTAAAAAATCAACACGTGCACATTTCTAAATTGAAGTTTTAATCGATGCTTCTGACTCATGTATTCCTATGGGCCTAAAGACCATTTATATTTCTGATAAGCTCCTCAAGACATAGGCTTTCTCAGATATTGATTGCATAATCTCGCTTATATGTGAAATCTTAAAAGAGGTGAGTACACAGAAACAGAGAATAAAACAGTGATTTCCAGGGGCAGGAAGCAGGTGGTGGTGGGCAGACATGAGGAGATGTAGGTCAAAGAATACAAAGTAGCAGGTAAGTATTCCCCTCTGAATTGCTGAGGATTCATTCCAAGACCCCTAGTGGATGCCCAGATTGCTGAACCTGAGTGTTGTCAACTGGAACCCCTTTCTGTTCATGTCCTCCACCCACAAATTTGATGGATTTTTAAAATGTTAACTAAGTACTTATCACACACTCTGGTAAAAACTTTTGCTATTTGAGGTGTGACAGTAAAATTAGTGCAAATTCCCTTTTTCCTCATCACAATTTTATGGAAAGAAGATTCCTTTTTAATGTAGATCATAGCAACCTCAGCATATTTTTTTTCATTTTTAGGTCAAGAACTTTCACCTTTTCATTTAAAAGAAGCACTTTATGGCTTCTCTTTGGCATATTTGAATTATAAGCATCAATATTTCTGTGTTTGGGGGCTGTAATTAAGTAAAATAAAGGTTACTTTAACGCAAGCACTGCAAGAGCAGGACAGTTGGATAACTGAGCCAGCTATTAAGTGACTAATGGTTGGGAAGCATATACAGTGTAGACATGTTGGATTAAGGGGTGATCTGCATCCTTGTCAGGATGAAGTAGGCTGACATGAAATTTCCTCATACTACTTAGAATGGTGCACAATTAAAAATTTATGGATAGTTGATTTCTGGAATTGTCCATTTAATATTTTCAGACTGCCATTGACCATGGGTAATTAAAACTGTGGAAAACAAAACCACGAATAAGGAGATGCCTACAGTATGTTACACATAAAAAAAAAATTGACCTTGCAACCAGTATCCGTGTTAAATTAACTTAACTTAATAAGTTTAATGTTTTATCTATAGATCCTTTTGGATTTTCTAATGATAGCTCTAAATACGAAAGTTTCACTAGTTTTGTTTCAATTATTACACCTTTTATATTTCTTATCAGTAAAATGATAAATAGAATTATTGAAAACTTTCTTGTCTTTTTTACTTCTATCAGATAATTTTTTTGTCTTTATTTATTTATTTATTATACTTTAAGTTCTGGGGTACATGTGCAGATCATGCAGGTTTGTTATATAGGTATACGCATGTCGTGGTGGTGGTTTGCTGCATCCATTGCCCTGTCATCTGCATTAGGTATTTCTCCTAATGCTATCCCTCCCCAATCCCCCCACCCCCCTGCTATCTCTTCCCTAGATCCTCCACCCCCCATAGGCCCCAGTGTGTGATGTTCCCCTCCATGTGTCCATGTGTTCTCATTGTTCAACACCCACTTATGAGTGAGAA